GGAGCTTTCTTTGCTTTTAAGGACTGCTTTTCACTTCATCTCCCTGATTACATACCCTTTCATAGTGCTGTAAACACTAAATGAACTGAAATTTCACCTCTGCTCAAGATTTGATGGACTTCTCTACCTCTCTGATTATACTGTATTCTCTTTATAGATCACTATTTACCTTCTCTTAGGATTTCATAGTTTCTAGGGTCCCTTCCAACTCTAGAAACTATGAAACTATGAAATTTATCTTATAACTCTGTTTTCTTTGGGAAGAATTGAGGAAATATTTTGGGGAGAGGGGTCCGTGCTAGCACAGAGTAAAATATGATAAGTCCCAAGTTCTGTGTCTTCATTTCCCATGGAGAAGGGGGCAGATGTAACCAAAGTTTTGCTATTTCATTTAGTCTGCCCATTGTGCTAGGCTTAGTTCATCATTGTATTAATACATTGATGAAACTTTTTGTAGAGGTTTTTAAAAGCTAATCTAGTTAGTTGTATGGCCCATAGACTATGGAATTGTCCTGAATACTTCAATGATGGATAAGTTTAAGATGATTTGAAGGTCTAACCCAATGGATTTCATTACTCAGACTGTTCCAAACCTCTTCAATCTCTTGAATCCTGGGATGGAAAAAGCTCTGAAAGAACAGTCTCTGTAGAGTGTTACAGCACTTGGTTCTAGGACTGAGGAAAAGGAAAAACATCTCCACTATCAGAATTGCATAGTGTATGGGTACCTGCTAATATTTATATATAGATGAGGGAGGGAAGTAGAGTGAAGGTTGTATATCTCACCAGTGAGAAGGAGAGAAGAGCATGATATCTAAAGTCTGAGGCCCTTTAGATGAAGATGGGGATTTGAAATGTCCTATAAAATGTAAGATGCACTGCAAGTTAACCAAAAAGAAGAAAGGAGAGCCCAGAGATGATGGGGACCACAGTTGCAGGAGCAATGGAGGAAGTAGTGCCCATATATTAACCCCTCAGTGGCTGGATGCACCCCTTGGACAGCCTTCCTGCACACAAACAGTCCCTAGCTTTCAAGATCATCAGCAAAGCAGTAAGTGAGCAGCTCTTCCTCATTTAAGGGAGTGATGTTCCCGGGAGCATAGTAATGAGAGATGTTCCCGGGAGCATAGTGAATTCCATATTAGATTTCATATTCCTTATGAAACAAAAATAACAGGAACCAACAGGAGAAATGGAGCTGCTCTCACCTGTGGTTTACTGTCTGAAGGGCTGCTAACTATAGCTACTGTCCTCTATTACACAGAGAAACAAAACGGATTTGAAATAAAGTGGTATTGGCTTCAGATCCTGTTTAAAGGGATACAGATTATCTTTGAACTCTTTGGGTTTCCTGCTGCCTTGTCACCCAGCATGAAACAACGCACTTTAGTTAAAAATAATTCGATAAGTACAACAGGGGGGTGTTAAGAAAGGCAAACCCCAACGTTACTGTGAGGAAATAACATAGTTGAATAGTAAGTCATTCCTTGCTTCCTTCCTATCAAGGTGTGTGATTAAACTAGGCTCAAGAATTGAAAAGGACACCGTGCCTTTGTGTACAAGTCCTAATTACTGGAGGAATGCAAGTAAGAAAGACAAGTTTGAATTATTTTTGATAGCTTTATAAAAATGAGAACTTGAAACTATTTTATCTTCAGTATTGGGCTGAAAGTCCTGTGGAATAAGTTTACCTTCTTATTCTGGTCAGTCTGGAAAAGCAGAAAAAATTTCACAATACTCTTTACAATTTTTTAGGTGAGTTTTTCTGTCTTTAGATAATAGCACAAAGAGTTTCAAAGCATAACAAGCAGTCCTCTACTCCACTTTTGCGGGAAAACCTGCTTTCTTCATTTTTTGTTGGTCTCTTAATTGGCATTTTTTTTTATTACTGAAATGATAACACTGCTCCTTATGTTTTGATACTTGTATTTAAGGCTGGAACTGGGTAGAAGACCATCAGAGGAAAAAAAAGTTGTCTTTCATTTTCCTAAAACTTTTAGCCCCACCTGCCCCCCCACAAAAAAAATGATTTCAGGAGATTTTATATTTGGGTTAGGTTTTTGATTTTCATTGGCTCTTGTCTAATGCAAGCTTCAAACAAAGCCCTTTATGGCTTTATGCCCTAACCTGCAAGCACTTGCATCAGGCTTGATTTTATTACTGCAAAGATTCCAGTTTGAGAGCCCTCATACTGAAAATCAACATGCTGTAACAAATACATTTTAAGAGGACAACTTTTAATGATCTGAATCTTACAAGTGTTGACTGTACTTAATGATTTTACAGTAAGGTAGTAAACATACTTGACATTTTTTCCCTCCGGGAATTTAAAGTAGTGATTTAAAAAAACCCAACCGAAATAACCTTTGGCTAGTGCATCCTTAGATATTCTAGTCTCCATCACTTTTGAGCTGCATAGGCTACATTTGGTTGGACAAAATGCTGCACCAGAATACATCAGAATCATTTACATCACTCAGACTCTCATCATACCTCCGTAGTGTGATGGAGGTCCACAGAGCAGAACCACTCCTTGTCCTTCTCTTACTGATACAGTGCTTCTCGTTTTGGTTTCAAATTTTTCAAGATCTTAGGGGGGGAAAAAACAAAATCTAATTATTACCAGTCAGACTTCTCGGTTAATTATAGGACTGATCTAGCTATCCTTACTCAGTCAGATGAATTCTATGCAAAACCAGACATTGCAGATTGGACCAGGAGGCCATCTTATATCTAGTATTCTGTCTCTAATAATGCCCAGTTCTGGGTGCATTAAGAAAGGTCTTCACGTTCTTGCAGTGCGAAATTATGGAATATTGTGTCCATGGAGAGGTTACTCCCTAAGCCCTTTCAGCATTAGTGCATGACTCGAGTGTCACTTTTTGGTATCAAATACAAAATGTAAGTGTATAGCTTGAACATTTAAAAATATTTCAAATTTACATATCAATGAAAGGCCCCTGCCACCCCCTCTTTTTTCAAATAGGGACCACATTTTTTTTTCTACATAGCTAACTTACTATAGCTCCTTATTAAGCACCTTGAAGATTTTTAGTAAGAAATAAAATAGACTTCAATGCCCACGAAAGCAGGGCTTTTTAAATTAATCTACTAAGGGTTTTTTTTTTTTTGATAAATGCTATACAGAAGTCAGTGGGTATCTTGAAATTAGTCTGGGAAGAGAAAATGAAGAGACTTACAGAATACAAATAAATGGACAGTAGGGCATTATTTTTTATGGTTAATAAAGTTACCCCTTGCTAACACATACAGTTGCATTACGACCCACTCTTAAGTGCAATTTTTATGGCTATTTGTCACTTCCTTTTAACTGGAGCTATGAATACACATGAAGAAGAAAATACAACCCACTATTTCATTGCTTGCTAAAAATGCACAGGTAATAAGTTTCTCAGTATGGTTCCCCTTTAATAATGCGATTTCAATGACAAAAGATAACACACAAAATGTACCTTCAATAAAAACCCCCAAATCAATTATTTTCTTTTTGTTCCAAAAGTTCTCATTAAAACGATGAGATTTTTCATCAGAGTGCATTTGACAGGGGATGTCACCTGCTTCTTTTTCATTCAAAGAACATTTCAGTAAAATAAAACAGACCATAATAATATCACCACCCCAAAACTAGCTATGCCATATAATTTCATATAATCATGTTTTACTTATGATTTCTGTATTCAGCTTACTACAAGGGTATGGATTCCAAGTGTATTCTTTTCAAATTGTAAAAAGTCCTTTTTTAAGGTCCTGTTAGACATGGAAAGTTAGTTGGGTAAGTAGTTGTGGGCAAATTAAACTCAACACCCACAAGAACGCCGAGAAAATAAGAGCTGCATTTGATTTTCTATGGATGTTTTTGTGGGGTTTTTTGTTTTTGTCTTTTGTTTAACTATTATGTAAAGAGTCTGTCTCCAAAGCATTAAGCGCTTCATGTGTCAACTAATAACAAATGCATAATACGATTATGTGCTTGATAACATTGATAACATGTTGGCTTATTTTTCCTTTTAAACTATTTTTTTTTTTTTTTTTAAGCTTTGAAAAATTGCATATGGAAATTTATGTGCCAGGGGACTCTTAATGGGTTTGTTAAATGTCTGGATTAATACGGGCCATTTGCATCCACTGATAGTTAACTGATTCTTACTGTGAGAAATAGTCCAAATTATTTTGTGGTATTAGCTCTGATTTGGACTTGCCCGTCTAGGAGCAGGGTGATGCCTGAAGGGGATAAATGCGGCCCTTTTCATTTTTGAATTTTTGCCACTCGCTGAGATGGGAGTTGATACAGAAGTAGTGGGTTATGACCAGAAGTCGACCCTGTCATTCTCAGAGAGCTGTTGGGGTATTGCTGAAAATGATTTTTTTTTCTTAAGCTTTCATAAAAAAATGTAATAAGTTCTTCCAGAGAAGAGAATAAGCCTAAACCAATGATCTTTAATACCCACACCGGAATATTTCTTTAGTGAGGAAACTTAGCAGGAAGGTTTGATTTTTGGAGCACATCTACAATTGAACTGTGCTTTGCGGTACTCTTGCAATAGCTTGTTTTGGTTTTAAGCAATATCATAACATGGACACGATGCTGCCTGTGGAGCCTGACAGCTCAAGTTCATACGTCTGTGCTACTGCTTTTAGATTTCATCAGCTGCCTGTAACATTTGACACACCAGTGGACCCTATAATGCGAGGTGCAATCACACTTGAATGGTGCCATTCTTTCCGTTTTGAGAGGATGCAGATGACCCATTGCTCATCTTCCCTTAGGGCTCTTTCATATGTTATTCTGAAGGATTTCACAGTTTCCAGTGAGCATAAGGGTTTATCATGTCGTTAGCAAGGAGGCATGAACTGAGAGGTCTTCAGTGAGCCACAATCACTACTTCTATCTGGCAAATGCTTCCGTCCTACTTGTGTGGTCAAGTATCTTGCCTAACATCTGGTGTCACAAACTAAATGGAGTGGGACAGAGTAAGGAATGCACACAGGGTAACCAGAAGAGATGGAGGAGAGTATATGGTGTGCATCCCTTTGTAATCTGAGTCTCTTGCAGTGTTTCTCTGATGCATACAAGCTGCACAGGTAGTCCTCAGACTTACGACACAGTTGCTGAAAGCCATGTGTTAAACTGAAACTTTGTAACTCAGAACCAATTTTCCCATAGGAAACAATGTTATAAATGGGGGATTCGTTCCTGAATCAAGGCCCGATACCCTATTTTTACCAAAAATAACCCAGGCTTTTGTACTCAATCAATTATAGATGAGTAAAATAGCTACATTATATTGTAAATAGCAATCGCATTGATTTGGAAATATTTCTTTGAGGTGACTTTGCTGGTCTTAGCTGGAGTCTTCTCAGGAGTCTTGGCTACAGGTTTTTCTGGAGTCTTGTCTGCTTTCTTCAAGGAAGTGTCCAAGGAAGTTTAGACAGATGTTCTCCAGGGAGATGGGAGACCCAGCAAACTTGTTCGCTGGTGTGGTGTGGCGAAGCATTGTAAAGTCAAAACTGATATCAGAAAGTTGAAACGGTGTCAATTTATCAACTTTGTAAGTGCAAAGCATTGTAACTCGAAATGTTGTAAGTCATACTAACTGTTGGCTGGTTTTGGGTGAGGTTCAAGTTGCTGGTTTTCAAAGCTAAGATCCATTATGAGTTCTGAATATATCAGACAATGACTTTTACCATATGAGTGTCAAAACCAGTATTGATCCAGCGAGATGCTCAAATTCACCATCTCCTGTTTGTACAGGGAAGGGAACTGATGGCAGAAGACTCCTGTGAAGATGGATCCTGCCTACTGGAATTGGTAGGAAGTAGACTGTAGATTAAATAGCCAATGAACACCAAAGTTTCATCTCACTGCTACAGAAGGTCCTTCTAGGCCATGATGGAGCCATATTAACAACACCAGGTATAATGGCCAGGCTCTGATGTGTACCATATCACTGCCTATGCTGTAGATATTGAGTAAAGAGTAGACCTGTGAATCAAGGGTGGTCTATCCTCTCCCAGATTCATTTTTTAAAAAATGGCTGAAATAGAGAGACAGGTATACTGCGATTCAGTGACATCATTTTATTTGTTTCCACAATGAGGAACTTCCCCCTGTTTTTCCACAACTCAATGGTTACATTATCCAGAAAATTTATAAACAACAAAGAGTCCCATTTCCTCAACAATGATCACTAACAAATGGGCTCAGGTTTGGCATGTCAGTCTCTCATTTAACTCCCTCAGCTATGACCAGTTCAAGGAACTTTACTGTTTTTCCCTTTTTCCTCTTCTTGCTTATTGGTCTCCTGTGAAGATATTGTCTATTTAGAGGTGGCCGAATTGAATTAGACAGGTGCAGCACCTCATGAACACATTCTGCAACCTGTCATGGTGACAATTGAACATATCTGTCAATACACTGGGAAAAGCATTTTTAAACCATAAGATGTCCCTTTAATTACCTGTGTCCTATCTCTGTGGGTTGTAATCTAAAGACTCAATGGGGAAAGAAGATTAAAAGACAAAGTTCATATAGACTTTTCTATTACTACTTAGAAAGGAAACTTTGAGTGGAAGTGGTGTGTTAATACACACTTAACAGATACTTAAGGTTTTTTATTGGTGTAATATCTGAACAATTAGCCTTTAAATCCATATAGAAATATGTCTACCTACTTGTTCGGAAAATGTAATACAATTTAAATGATTTATAAATTAATGAATTACTCTGCTTCCCTTTTTGCAAGGGGGATCAAGAGTTTGCTACAGATCGAGATCCAGTATTAACCCATCTGTTTTGAGAGAGGGGCATCAGCTGGTCCAGCTTCCCTCATCCATTCACAGATGGACCTAAGGCCAAGCAATGAAAGAACATAAGCACATGGCCTGGGTAAGAGAGTAGCCTTTAGTATTGGCTCAGTTCATTTAGGCTAGGTAGCCTTATAGAATATTCTGTGCTCATTACAACTAGCAAAAGGGGAAAATTCAAGTCACAGATGGGTTGTTTCCCAACACAGTAATGAAACCACTGAAGCATGTGAGTGTTACGTGAATAATCATAGTATTCTGAACGTGTGTACAGGAGTGGAAAATGCTACTGGGTAGAGTAGGGAAAAATGTGGAGATCAGCTGGGCCATCAGAGAAATACAGCCTTCAGAGTCCATATGCCAGCACTGCACATAGAAATGACTCGGGCCTGAATGTTTCAAACTTCAGAATTTCAAGTCTAGGACAAGGGGTCCAATTATTCAGGTCTGAAAAACTCCCATTGTCTTCAATAGAAGGAGGATCATAAAAAAGTTCAACTGTCAGATCACCCCAGGGATGCTGATCAAAAAAGAAGCCAGCCAAATCTTTTGAGGTGCTGGCATTGGCTAAAATCCCAGGAACTTCTCTTTCTTGTTTGCTAATGTAAAGAGGCTATAGGTTTTATTATAGAAATGTGTAAAGGGGGAAAAAAAAATATCACCCCTTTCCTTGCTGTAAATCATAATTTTACATTTTTGCTGAGAACAAGATTTTGCTGGTAAAGGAAGCTCTCTGAGGAGGAAGGGGGAAAAGAGTGATGTTT